TACTGGGACCCTTGGAGTAATTCCTGGTGCTGTTCTGTCTGGAAAGTTCTATTGCTCTCCACATTTCACATATCAGGAGAGCCAGGCTCAGGGGGGCATGTATACAGACGCATGGCACGAATGGGTGCCTATACAAGGTGTCTTCTAAAATGCAACCCACCCACACCCACCAGAGATTTTAAGCCAATAGGAAGAGAAGGTGACCACACACACACACGATTACCAAAACCAGACAGTGGCGTGTGTCATGTAACAGTTAAAGCCCTTGGCACAGAAATCCAGAAGCAGTTGGGATGCTCTGCTCACCAGTGCTTCCAGCATCATCCATGGAGGATTTAACAAGGAAAAAAAAAGTACAAGAATGACTGTGTAGCTAGCACCTCCAATAGACCCCTGTAAGAAGATAAATCCACTGGCATAGCGGGTTAAGGTGCCACCTCCTAACACTTGCCGAAGCCTGCTGTTTTGAATCTTTTTCCCACCACCTAGAGGAAGGGTAGGTTTTAACCGCAGCCTTCCCCCACATTGTCCAGGAGCAATGAGTATAGGCTGGGAAAGCCTGGTGCAACCCATGGTGACTGCCTGCCGCTTGGCCAGGCCCACGGGTACAGGCTCTGCTTGTCATGGGCTGGCATGGGCAGGGGATGAAGGGGAGACATGTTCTTGCCAGGATGAGAGATCCTGTTCTCCTGGCTTGAGGGATCTGCTGAGTCACCACCCCCCAGTCCACACAAACACATCCATCCGGACCTGTGTTAGCTGAGTCAGTGTTGCAGCCGAGCCTAGTCCCAGCCTGGGCAAGTTCTGTGGGTGAAGTCAGAAGCCCACACATAAAAGGAGAAGGCAGGGCCTGGCGTGTTGGCCTAGTGGCTAAAGTCCTCACCTTGAATGCCCAGGATCCCACATGGGTGCCGGTGTGTGGCAAGGCAAGGACTTCAGCTGATAGGCTACCGTGCTGGGGTTGACCTTTTCTTTTTTATTTATTTACTTATCTTTATTGGAAAGGCAGATAGAGAGGAGTAGAGACAGAGAGGAAGATCTTTTGTCGGTTGATTCACTCCCCAAGCGGCTGCAGCGGCTGCAGCGGCTGAAGCTGAGCCAATCTGGAGCCAGGAACCTTCTTCTAGGTCTCCCATGTGGCTGCAGGGTCCTAAGGCTTTGTACCATCTTTGACTGCTTTCCCAGACCACAAACAGGGAGCTGGATGGGAAGCAAGGCCACTGGGACACAAACCAGCGCCCATATGGGATTCCAGCACGTTTAAGATGAGGATTTTAGCTGCTAGGCTACTGCTGGAACCATAGCATTTTTTAAAAATAGACATTTTTACTTGAAAGGAAAGGCAATATTACAGAGAGAGAGAGGGGAGAGACACATTTCTTCCACCTGCTGGTTCACTCCCTAAATGACTGCTACTTTCCAGGCAGCTTTCCAGAGAGCTGGGTCAGAAGTGGAGCATCCCTGGGGGAGAAGACAGGAGACCTGGGGGCGGGAAGGGGTGATGTGCTAGCTCAACAGGCTAATCCTCCCTACGGCTCCTCCGGTATCCCATATGGGTGCAGGTTTGTGTCCTGGCTGCTCTACTTCCCATTCAGCTCCCTGCTTGTGACCAGGTAAAGGAGTGGAGGATAACCCAATTCTTTGGGCCCTTGCATCCACGTAGATGGAGTTTCCAGGAAGCTCCTGCTTCCTGCTTCAGATTTGCTCAGCTCCAGCAGTTGCAGCCATTTGGGGAATAAACCAGAGGATGGAATATCTATCTCTTTCAAATAAAAGTATTTTAAAATTTATTATTATTAGTTTATTTTGATAATCATGGTTGATTAGGGTACAAAGGGTCAAGGGCTACAGGAAAGTGAGTAAGACCATTGTTTCCACACACACACACACTCTCTCTCTCTTTTCTTTCTGTATTTGGGGTAAGAAGAGGGGAGATAAAGGGAGAAGTCCCACCCAGCCTCCCACCCATCCCAGGGTCCCTGATGTGGGGCATGCTCTGAGGGCACTGCTCAAGTGGTTTTGATAGTTCAACAGTTCTGAATTGCTGCCAATCTCACCATTCCAAGCATGATGAAATCTCTCCAGAATCCACTGGCTGACATAGTCCACCTTAGAGTCTGTTTGCCCAGATTTTCACTGCCAACACATGGCTGGGGTAGTTGATCGATTTGTTCTGTCCTCTGTTCTCTGTTAGGGTACCAGGTGTCCTCTGCAGACTCCAATGTGCTGCCATTTCCTCCATGTGCTGTCCACTGCTCCGTCTGAGCCACTGAGGAGGCTCAGCTTTGACATATGGACTCCACGGTCAGACCATGGAACCTGCACTTCTCTTCATGCTTGGGGTTCTGGGTTCAGCAGTTCAGTTGGAGGGATCCCTAAAAAAACTTCGTCTGAGGTGACCCCAGACCTGATTCTTATGTATGCTTGTTAGTACTCAGTCTGGCACAGTCTATTGCCCCTTTACGCTGTATACACTGGTAGTTGTTGTTCTGCCTCTAGCCCCGTCTTCTACACAAATCAATGGGTGTGGCAATCCAGTCTAATCCTGCCCACTACACACTTGGCCCTCATACAAATCAGTGAGAGCTGTAGCCTAGTCTGAGCGACCCACAATAACCTCCACAGTCCCGCCCCCTACCCTGGTTCCTGTGCTTGCCAGTATGTGTAGCAGACTGGTTCAGTCTGTCCCACATCCCATTCAGCTTTCATACATGTCAATGGGCATTGAAGCCTAGTTCAACCCAACCAGCCCCACTCTCCAGCCCACACACATTCTGGTGGGTGCTGTTCTGTCTAGCCACAACTGCGCCAGTCCTGGTTCTCATGCTCTCCAGTGGGAGTGGTAACCCAAGAGGGGAGTACCCACTATTTCCCTACTGGGCCACTCCCACTCCTGGAACATGCACTCTCCAGGTGGTTCTGCAGTTTACCTTGACAGAATTAGCTCCCAGTGCCAGCATCTGCCAGCTGATGCTGTGGCAAAGCCCCACTAACCCTCACTGAGTCTGATTTATGCTTGCACCTGTAGGAACAGTCAGCCCAGCCTGGCTTTTCCCTGATCTAGCTCACCTGAGACCCACAGGTGTTGTAGCCCTGCCTGGTCTAGTCTGCCCTCTTCCCAACTCAAGCTGTCTAGTGGGAGTGGTGATCCAGCAAGGGAGTCCTCCACACCCCCATACCAACTTTGCCCTCTCTTCCCCTGGTTCTCACATGTGCTGGTTGGGTGCTGCTGCCCAGTCTGGCTTGAAAGATGCAAAACATATTCAGAAACTAACAAGGTCAAAGTCACAGGCTATCCACATTTCACCAAGCTTTTGAAGAGGCAGGAAGATAGCACCATGTGAGGCTGATCAACCACTGAAACCTACCCAGGCCTCACAGATGAAAGGATTACCAGAAAGAATCTCAATACAGTGTAAGCAGATGGGCAGGCATTATGGGGCAACAGGCTTAAGCTACCATCTGCAACCTTCCACACGTACCAGTTTGAGTTCCCGCTGCTCAACTTTCACACAGCTCTAGGCTCAGGCACCAGGGAGAGCAGCACCTGATGGCCCAGATGTTTGAGTCCCTGCCCTCCACACGGGAGACCCTGATGGAATGTCTTGCTCCTGCCTTTAACCTGCCAACTGACACAGCCACCCGGAGTGGTGAACCAGCAGGTGGAAGATCTCGGGCTCTTGCCTCTCTGTGTTGCCTTTCAAATAAGTAAATAATTAAAGAAAAATGTTATTGTACAACAGTGTAGTGCCAGACAACAAACAACAACAGACCAAAGAAAATTGTTCTGACATGTGACGAAGGGTTTTCCTCCAATATGCAATGTGCCCGAATTTATAGCAAAATACAACAAACCCAGAGAACATTTCACAGCAGAGGAAATGGCAAATATCCAAGAAACACAATAAAACTCAGTAATAGCAATATAAAGTAAAACAACAACTACAGCAAAAAATAGTGCATGACTCATCCCCACTAGGTTGGCAGAAGGGTAAAGAAGCTATAAAATCCAGTAGCTTGAATTGATACTGTTATGATAACTGCTCCTGGTGGAACTTTGAACTGCGAAAATAATTATGGAAAACTATCTGACGATAATTATCAACATCATCTGCCCTTGGCACAGTTACTTCTTAGGATCGGTTCCTTTTAAAATAAAGCAATCAGACCGGACGGAGGAGCCTGCGGCAAGCACTGTTGGAGGGACCACAGGACCCCCGGCTCCTGCTGTGCAAAGCCAGGAAGTTGTGTGCCCCGTGTCCATCCGTGCCTGATATCCTTCCCTTGGCACCTGCCCACTCTCGTGCTTTCAGCCTCTCAGAATACCCAAGCGAACCGTAAACCTGCCGATCTGTTTTTGGGACCCCCCCCCCACTTGGTGGAGTTCCACATAACCTCTCCCCACATCGACTAAGAATTCAGTTCTTATCGCTGGGCCCTTGGTGTAACTGTCCAGTCTGGAGTGCCCGTGTCATGGGGCTGTGGACACCCGTGGAGTTTGGCATCACAGTGGTGTCCCAAAGCTGCCATCCCTGCCTCCTAGGTTCAGGACCACCTCCACACCCCTTTCGCTCAGCTCTCTGGCTTTCCCATAATCCTTCTTTCCACTCCAGCCCACCCTCCTCTTCTACCTGAGGATTCTCAAGCTTGACTGGTTGCCGAGTCACTCTCATTTTCTGTTTCGCTTTTTTTTTTAAAGATTTAATTATTTTAATTGCAAAGTCAGAGGAGAGACGGAAGATCTTCTGTCCCATGATTCACTCCCCGAGTGATGGCAACGGCTGGTGCTGCACCGATCCGAAGCCAGGAGCAAAGAGCTTCCTCCTGGTTTCCCACACGGGTGTAGGGTCCCAAGGCTTTGGGCCGTTCTTGACTGCTTTCCCAGACCACAAGCAGGTTCCCGGATGGGAAGCAGGGCCACTAGAATTAGAACAGGCAGCTATATGGGATTCTGGCACATGTAAGGCAAGGACTTTAGCTGCTAGGCTACCGCTCCAGGCCCTGTGTGTTTTATTTTAATGGTGATCTTTTCTGTTTTACAGAGCATCTTATAACGTGCAGGAAACATGTTTCGGAGATACGATTCCAGGACCACTATGTTTTCCCCACAAGGTCGCCTGTACCAGGTGGAATATGCCATGGAAGCTATTAGACAAGCAGGCACCTGCTTGGGAATTCTGGCCAATGACGGTGTTCTGCTGGCAGCCGAGCGACGCAACATCCACAAGCTCCTGGATGAAGTCTTCCTTTCTGAAAAGATTTATAAACTCAACGAGGACACGGCCTGCAGTGTGGCAGGAATCACCTCTGATGCCAGCGTTCTCACTAACGAGCTGAGGCTCATAGCCCAGAGGTATCTACTACAGTATCAGGAACCAATCCCATGTGAGCAGTTGGTGACCGCAGTGTGCGACATCAAGCAAGCCTACACACAGTTTGGAGGCAAGCGTCCCTTTGGTGTCTCCTTGCTCTACATGGGCTGGGACAAGCACCACGGCTTCCAGCTCTATCAGAGTGATCCCAGTGGGAACTATGAGGGATGGAAAGCCACATGCATCGGCAAGCACAGCGCCGCAGCCATGTCAATGTTGAAACAAGACTACAAAGAGGGTGACATGACCCTGAAGTCAGCGCTGGCTTTAGCTATCAAGGTGCTAAATAAGACCATGGACGTCAGCAAACTGTCTGCTGAGAAAGTGGAAATTGCCACGCTCACGAGGGAGAACGGCAAGACGGTCATCCGAGTTCTCAAACAGAAGGAAGTAGAGGAGCTGATCAAAAAGCACGAAGAAGAGGAAGCGAAAGCAGAGCGGGAGAAGAAAGGACAGAAGCAGAAGGAGAAGTAGAAGGCACACTCCGGGGTCTCCGCATCCACCTGGGGCGCCGCATCGCTCCTCTGCCCCATCTGGGAGGCTCTGACCGCCCCGCTGTGTGCCATGGCGAGCCAGACACTGCTGTGCGTCCCTGGCGTTTCTGTCCCGTTGAGTGCTTTATGGTAATGATGGTGATTACACTTCATAGGTATCTTTTCAACTTCCCCCTCCTTTTTTTTTTTTTTTTGGAATAAAACTTGGAAAGAGTGGGAAAAAAATAAAGCAATCATGTGTAAGGAAATGCAGCCTTGTCAATAGTGGCAAACAAAAAATAACCCATATATTAACATGGTACCTATTATATCTATAATATATATAAGATATATAATTAAACATGATATAGGTGGAATATTCTGTAGATGATTTAAAAAAAAATATTTATTTATTTTTCTTGGAAGGTCAGATATACAGAGAACAGGAGACAGAGAGGAAGATCTTCTGTCCATTGATTCACTCCCAAGTGATCACAATAACCAGAGTTGAGCTGATCTGAAGCCTGGAGCCAGGAGCTTCCTCTGGGTCTCCCACACGGGTGCAGGGTCCCAAGGCTTTGGGCCGTCCTCGACTGCTTTCCCAGGCCACAGGCAGGGATAGGAAGTGGGGCTTCTGGGATTTGAACTAGCGTCCATATGGGACTCTGACACATGCAGCCGATTTTGAAAGTGCAAGAAATCTAAGTATGTTCATTGAACCAAAAGAATGACTGTAATAGGCCTGGCATGGTGGCCTAGCAGCTAAAGACCTCACCTTGCACACGCTGGGATCCCATACGGGTGCTGATTCTAATTCCACAGCCCTGCTTCCCATCCAGCTCACTGCTTGTGGCCTGGGAAAGCAATTGAGAATGGTCCAAACCCTTGGGTCCCTGCACTTGCGTGGGAGACCCGGAAGAGGCTCCTGACTCCTGACTTCAGATTGACTCAGCTCTGACCATTGTGGCCACTTGGGGAGTGAATCATCAGACGGCAGTTCTTTCTCCCTCCTCTCTGTACATGCCTTTTGCAATAAACATTTTAAAAATCTTTTTTTAAAAAAAGAATGACTGTGAATATTCCTTAAAATATATATATCACAGGGCCCAGAGTTATGACTCAATGGCTAAATCCTCGCCTTGCAAACACAAGGATTCCATACGGTACCACTTTGTATCTTGGCTACTTCACTTCTTATCCAGCTTCCCTGCTTTGGCCTCTAAAGTCCTTGGGCTCTATGCCCACGTGGGAGGTCTGGAAGAAGCTCCTGGCTCCTGGCTTCAGATTTGTTCAGTTATGGTCATTGCAACCATTTGGAAAGTGAACCAACAGATAGAAAACCTCTTTCTTTTCTTCTCTCTGTAGATGAGTCTTTAATAATAAATAAATAAATGAATAAATCTTTAATGATCTCTGCTCTCATACAGCGCACCGTCCACATGGTGCAGGGTAAGGTTGGAGGAGAATGTCAGACGGAATAGCCAGGTGTCTTATCTACTCACGTGGGGCAGAAATAAGAACTGGGATGAAGTACCAGGGATCTGCCCCTTATATATGTCATTGAAAGCCACTGACTGGAGGGTTTGGCAAATAGTTTAGGGTTATTCGTATAAGCTCGCATTAAAACATAGATGAATTAAAATGAAGAGGACGGGGAAAAATACAAGAAAAACCCAGGTTCAAACGCCAGCAGTTAAGTTAGTTCTTTGGAAGGCGATCAAGTCTCTCCATAACGAACAACGTTCCAGACGGCTCCATACCGCCATCTCTTGGCTTCGAGAAGCGCTTCCAGAGCGGTGACGCAGCGTTCCGCACGCGGGCTGAAGTCAGGGCAGCCATATTGACTAGGGGAGTGGAGGCGGGGTTCCTGTCACCGTCTTGAATGACAGTCGAGGCGGAGTTCCAGCTGGCGTGTTGCTAAAGATTTGTCTCGGGGGTCACCGCCCGCGGGGGCGAGAGTAGCCAATCAGCGGCTGCGGGCAGAGGCCTCGGGCTCCACCCCCAAGCCTCACTTCCGCCGTCGCTGCCGTAAGTCAGGCGGGAGGTTTGCCGCATCACGGAAGATGGCGGCCGCGACGGTCAACGGGGCGACGGGCGTCCCGAGCTCCGGGGCCGCGGCGGCTTCGGGCGCTGTCCTGCAGGCCGCAGCCGGCATGTACGAGCAACTCAAGGGCGAGTGGAACCGCAAAAGTCCCAATCTGAGCAAGTGCGGGGAAGAGCTGGGCCGCCTGAAGGTAAGCAGTCGGCGGTTCCGGGAAGGCGGCGCTTTTGAGGGGCGCGCTAGGAATGGGGTCTGGGCGGCGGGAGAGGCCTCGGGGGCCACGAGGTCCGTGGGGCGGGCTGAGGGAAGAGCAGCCACAGCCTGAGGGGCAGCCTGAGAAAGGTCGAGGCGGGAGAGAGGCCTGACCTCCCCGAGGCAGCCACAAGTTGAGACGGTGCTGATGGCCGAGCCGAGTGAGGGGGTGGGTGGTCGGAGTGGCAGGGTGAGGGTCTCGGTGGTGGTCGTGGTTGTTTTCCCTGATGGCGGTTCTGGGCTCAGGTCGTGTGTGTGTGTGTGGCGGGGAGGGGGTTCAGCCCAGGTCCTGTTGGGGGGAGGGTTTCAGCCCAGGTCCTGTGTGTGTGTCGGGGAGGGGGTCCAGCCCAGGTCCTGTTGAGGGGAGGGGTTCAGCCCAGGTCCTGTGGGGGGGAGGGGGTTCAGCCCAGGCCAAATCAGAGATGGGGGGCTTAGAGAGGAGTGGGAGGGGAAACGGAGACAGCTTTATTGTGGGAAAAGCATTTCTCTTGAGAGGAATGTTGTTATAAGGAAGAATGGGAATGTGGAGTCAGCGTGTTTGGAAATGAGAATGAATGTGGCCCCAGTGTGGGGTTGGGGAGGTAGGGACAGGGAGTACCCCCTCACTCCCTGATGGGGATTCTGATCCCACGGGACTGTTTGTCCCATTTGCCTGGCTATAAATAATTGTGACTCCTTGACTAAGCATAGCAGTTTTGTGAGTCAGGGATGATGGTTAGCTCCATAAACCCCATGTCTCAGCTGAACTCCTATGTTCTTTACTTCTTTCCCTTGCGGTCAGCTGGTGTTGCTGGAACTCAACTTCCTGCCCACTACCGGGACCAAGCTAACTAAGCAGCAGCTCATTCTGGCCCGTGAGTCACTGGTGTGGTGGTAGTTGTTGTTAATGGTGGTGGTGGCTGGAGGTGGGAGGAGTTGTGGTAGGGATCGTGTCCGTGGTGGTTCCTGCTGAGATGCCACCCTCACCCCTGTCCCCTCACAGGTGACATACTGGAGATTGGGGCCCAGTGGAGCATCCTGCGCAAGGACATCCCCTCCTTCGAGCGCTACATGGCCCAGCTCAAGTGTTACTACTTTGACTACAAGTGAGGAGGCGTTCCACACCCACCCGTGGGAGAGGGTGCTTGTAGAAGTGGCTCCTGTATTGCCTCAGCCCCTTGGGATATCTGGCTTCCCCTGGCAACTCCTGCTCTGCTGAGCTCAGGCTCCGGGATTGGCTTTGGGGGAGGGCTGGCGGCAGTCCTGAGACTGAGGTTGCCGGATCCCAACTCGGCCACTGTCCAGTCTGTGTCCCTTTGATCCATGGCTGCACCGCCTCCCTTCGCCCCCTGGGACGCACTCCCTCACGGCAGTCAGCAGGATTTGTGACACTGAAGTTTGACCCCATTGTTGCCCTGCTCACAGCCTGTCCTGGCTCTTAGTGGTGCTTGGGTTGAAGACCAGGTTCTTTTCCTGAGGCCTCTAGGGCTGTGCCTATCCCGGTTCCCGCTGCCCGTGTCTGCCCTCCCCTGGCCTGGGCTTCCCCATCCCAGCCTCCCACTGGTCTGAGAGCTGCCTCAGGCCAGAGCCAGGGACTGCCTTGGTCACTGCCTCCACAGCCTCCCACAGGGCCAGGCCCCTCCGCAGGGACCTGCGAACTCTGTGTCAGATGTAAAGCTAAGTGTCACCTATGTGGATTCATGATTAAGAATTTGACATCAAACCAACCTAGATTTGAAGCTTCCTGCCTCTTGTTGATTGTATGCTGTTGGGCAAATAACTTCATCCTTCCTCACTCAATTTCCAGTTTGAACTGGGGGAGATCTTCTGCTGTCTCCCACCCCCTGTCCCATGGAATGAGTAATTATTGGGAGCCAGCTTTGTAGCACATTGGATTAATCCACTGCTTGCGATGTTGAAAAGCATAGTGATAGGAAGAGAGAGAGAGAGATTGAGGATCATGTGTGTATTGGTTCACTCCCTAAATGCTCACAACAACCAGATTGGGCCAGTCCAAAGCCAGGGTCCAGAACTGGCCAAGTACTAGAACCATGATTGGCTGCCTTTCCAGTGTGTGCGTTAGCAGGAAGCTGGATTGGAAGTAGAAGTGGGATTTGAATCCAGGCATTCAAAATGGGATTCAGTAGCTTAAGTGGCTGCATTTTCACTCTCTGATTTACTTATTGTATAAGACAGAGTAACAGAGAGGAGGGAACAGGTCAGCTCTTCCATCTGTGGTCCATTCTTCAAATGGCCACAGTGCTCAGTGCTGCCCCAAGCCAGAGCCACAAGCTGGGAACTCCATCCAGGCCTCCGACGTGGGTGTAGGGCTCCAAGCACTTGAACTCTCTTCTGCCTGCCCAAGCACATTAACGGGGAGCTGGATCGGAAATAAAGCAGCAGGAGTTGGACCAGCACATGTCTGAGTTGCTGGCATCACAGGAAGTGGATTAATGTGCTTGGCCACATTACACAGTATGTGTTTACACAAGTTACCATCTGATCACTTTATCTGAGTTGAATAATTTACTTAGCCCCCATTCATTTAAGCCGTCTGTACTGTGCTATAGTTTATCGTTGATTTCTTCATGCTGTTTGAGCTTCGGTTTCCTTATCTGATAAACACCTTTGAGGAGAGAACTTGGGTAGCTGTCGGAGTCCCTGGAAGCTGGGGTGTGGACTTACTGGATCCCCATACCTTCCTGACCTTGGTCCCCCCTCCTGACCTTGGTCCCCTGTCCTGGCCTACAGGGAGCAGCTCCCTGAGTCTGCTTACATGCACCAGCTGCTGGGCCTGAACCTCCTCTTCCTGCTGTCCCAGAACCGGGTGGCAGAGTTCCACACAGAGCTGGAGCGCCTACCTGCCAAGGACATCCAGACCAACGTCTACATCAAACACCCAGTGTCCCTTGAACAGGTGAGGCTGCTACTGGAGGGGGAGAGGGGCTCAGGGAGGGCTTCCTGGAGGAACGGGCTGAGTTCAGCCCTGGGATCCTTCCCTTAGTCATCCAGCAAGCACTGAGCTCCGGCCATGTGCTGTGAATCAGCTGTAGCCCATGGTGATGTGGTCTGGCCAGGATGTGGGACAATAGCAAAGCGCAAGAATAAGGGACCTGGCTAGTCTGTCATGGGATGAGAAAGGCTGTGGAGGAAAACAGAAGAGGCGGGGAGGGCGGGCACAGAAGGCCTCACAGCCACACGGCCATGTGGTAGACAGACCCCAGCCTTGGGCACGCCTGCTGCACGTGGGGTGCCATGAAGGAGACAGTGCTTCTGGAACCAGGAGAATGAGGGTTAGAAGAAGGCTGTAGACCGGAGGTCTCACAGGGAATTTCGCTGTGGGGATGGGTGGGAGGGGGCGTTGATAATTGGTGGCATAATTTGGGTGAATGTGTGGAGTAGCGAGCCAGGGTGGGTCTGCATTTGTTTCCAGTTACTGGAGAGTCAGTGAGATAATTAGAATCCATCCCAGAGCAGGCTTGCAGAATGAGTTGGGGTGTCAGTCAGGGAGGGTTTCCTGGCAGAAGGGCCCCCAGTCAGTGTTGGTGGCCAGCAGAGGAGTGATGACCATCCTTCCTTGTCTGTCCCTGGCTTCTGCAGTACCTGATGGAGGGCAGTTACAACAAGGTGTTCCTGGCCAAAGGCAACATCCCTGCTGAGAGCTACACCTTCTTCATTGACATCCTGCTTGACACTATCAGGTGTGGTGGGAAGGGGGAAGGGTTTATTCCCTGTGGTTGGGGGGGCTTAACCCCAGGTGTTTGTGTTTCTTGGTCTCTTAACACCTCAAGTTATCCTTGTCTGAACTGTGTGATTGCAGGACATGGGGCCTGCTCGCTCTGGACTCTGAGTATGTGGCTGTGTGTGCACAGCCAGGCCTGGCGTCACCATGTGGCTCAGCAGATGGAGGGCAGGGAGGTGACCGGGGTGCCCAGGCAGAACCCGCAGTTGCCTTCTCTAGCACAGGGCTACCAGGCCCCACCAGCTCCTCTGGGTGCTGGGTGCACAAATGACTTCACATGGGTGTGTGGGTGTGATGATGTAGGAGTCCCCTTGAAGGGGTGACAAGGTTTCAGAGAGATGGCCAAACCATTTGCCTTGTGGGAGCCACTCTATAAAGGGTGTGTGTGGCAAAGCCAAGGCTAGAGGTGGGGTGGGCGTGTGGCAGGTGGGAGGCTGAATCGTTCTCTTAGGAAACGGGAGCAGTACGGAAGCACTAGGAGTTCGGGGGCCCCTGTGCCTCACCTCTGAGGGTGCCCGCTCCTCCAGAGCCTGCCCCACCCCACATTCTGGCCACCCTGCACTGTACTGTTTGCTCCCTGCTGGTGTTCACGTCTTGGTGGGTGCAGTAACAGGATGGTTACTGGAGAGCTCCCCATGTGGGCCCCACACACGGGACGTAAATGGCCTCAGGTAGATTCAGGGCCTGGCAGATACCCAGATGTGGGCCTCATGTGGCCCCTGCTTGCTTTGTAACTCTGGTCAGGTCCGTCCCCTCTCCAAGCCCTGATCTGTGAGCAGGGCAGGGCCCACTGCAAGCTGCCTTGGTGGAGGTGCAGGGCTAGGGCCTGTGTGGGCCCGGGCTGGGCTGGGTCAGGAAGTCCTGGTCCTTCCCCTCAGGGACGAAATTGCTGGGTGCATTGAGAAGGCGTATGAGAAGATCCTCTTCACCGAGGCCACGCGGATCCTCTTCTTCAACACACCCAAGAAGATGACCGACTATGCCAAGAAGGTGCTGGGGCATGGGGCCAGGGGCCATAGGGTGAGGCAGGGCGGGGTGGCCTGGAAGGGCACAGGGACAAAAGTGCCCAGCTTTTCAGTCCAGCTGTGCCCCCTTAGGCCAAGTTGCGAATCTTCTGTGAGCTTCTGTGCGCGAGAGACTTTGCATAGTCTCTGCACCTGGGTATGCTGCCTGGCATCTTTGCTTGCCCCCAGAGACACTCATGCATGGCATGTAGTGGTCCTGGTCCAGGTGACAGGAGCAGAGTTGAGGACAGGCTGAACAAAGAGTGAACTCGCATTTGAGTGAGGGCTGTCGTTGCCAGCTGATTGGCCTCGTGTTGGACCCTGGGCTTAATCCGTGCTTATGCATTAGAGGGTTGTACAGTCACTGGATGTTCAGACCCAGAGAAGCCTGGGATTGGACTCGTGTCTCAGATGTGGAGAACTGGAGGCACCGGGAGGCGGAGGCTGCTTGCCTGGCTAGTGGGACTCACCAACTCAGCCCTGGTGCAGGGTGGGGGAGGTAGCAGGGCTGCCCCTGTGATTGCCTCACCCCTTCTCACCTTTGATCCCTCCCTCCCTTCAGCGAGGCTGGGTCCTGGGTCCCAACAACTACTACAGCTTTGCCAGCCAGCAGCAAAAGCCGGAAGACACCACCATCCCCTCCACAGAACTGGCCAAGCAGGTCATCGAGTATGCTCGGCAGCTGGAGATGATTGTGTGAGCGTGCGGGCCCGCAGTGCGGCCCAGCGTGTGGTCCTCAACACCCTTCTGGGGCCTGCGGCCTCCAATAAAGTGGATTCCCATTCGCTCGTGGGCCCATGTCTCCCCGGTTGTGGTGGCAGGGAGCCATGTGCTTATCTGTGAAGAACTGGGAAATTGGAAGGCCCTGCGCATAGGAGCTTGCCCTCTATCCATGGTCAGCCTCGGTCCAGTGGCCCTGCTTGGGGGTCTCGCACAGGGGCACAGCGGCACCATGGCCTGCCAGCCAGCCACGGACATGTGCAAACACCGGGCCAGGCCAGTTGGTTTTTCAGTGAAGGGAGCAGTTTCCCGATTTCTTTGAAATGTTGGCAATGAATTAAACCATTTTGAAAATGGCATGTGAGATGAAGCCATCTGTGGGCTAGCAGAGGGAGCCCTCTGTGGGATGGAGGATGTGGGCAGCCAGTCCTCCCGAGCCCACCCCAGCCCGGACAGGCCTTCCTGCCTTACCGTTCAAAGGTGTTGACATTATCTGGTCAGACTCGCCTGGCTCTAAGATGGGGGCAATCGTTCCTTTCCGGAGGGGTTTCTAGATCTCTAGGTCACCACGGGAAGGGGCTGTTGTCCAGGCTGCCTTTCTGGGGTGCAGAAACCATCTCCCACTGACTGCTGCTCTGGGTGCAGACCTGATGGAGACCTCTCCTCCTGGCTCCTTCCACCCCTCGGTGGGTCCCCAACAGGCTCTCCGCTTCCAGGTTGTCACTTTATTGTTATGGAGGGAAGGCAGCAGGTGTTGATCAGACTGTGCTCAGTTGGAGTGGGTGGCCTGCAAGTCGTAGTGCTCCAGCCCAGCTACCAGGGAACCTGCCAGCTTGATGGTGGCGACCCAAGGTGGCTCGCTCAGGTGGTTGGTGGGTGTGCTCAGCCTGGGGGAGGGGAGTGTACAGTCAGTCGGCAGGGCTGTATCCACTGGGGAAAGGGTGCTGAGGGCTGAGTCTCCCCGGGATTGGGAGTCCTCAGGAGTTGCTAGGATCATGCCCTGGGGATCAGAACTGGAGATTGAATAAGGGCAGGTAGGTGAAGAGGCAGTGTGTGCCCTGGATGGCGGGGCATCCGGAAGGGGTGAGGGGGTGGGATGGCCTTGGACTTTGGGGCTCGGTCAGGAAATCCCAGTGTCCTGGAGAATCCCAGGTCTGTTATAGCGGCTTCGTTCCCACAAGACTCATCTTCCCGCATCCCAGAAGAGCTTAGGACATGGTCCTTCTTGGTGCTCTCAGGAACGGGGTCTGGCCTGCTCAGCTTCCTTCCCTCATGGATGGTTCCAGAAAGAAAATTCAGGGTCATTTGGGGCATCCAGATAATGAGTTAGGCCAAGATAGGACTGGCGCTGTAGCCTAGTGGCTCAAGTTCTTGCCTTGCAAGTGCTGGGATACCATATGGCAGCCCTGCTTTCTATCCAGCTCTCTGCTTGTGGCCTGGGAAAGCAGCCTTGGGACCCTGCACCCACTTGGGAGACCCAGAAGAACCTCCTGGGTTCAGATCAGCACAGCTCCAGCCGTTGGGGCCACTTGGGGAGTGAATCAGCTGATGGAAGATCTTCCTCTCTGTCTCTCCTACTCTGCATATCTAACTTTACAATAAAAATAAATCTTAAAAAAAAAAATGGCCGTCTCCCCTGTCAGGGATGGGTGTAGGCCCGAGGCACCCCTAGGTCGTGAAGGACTGGAGCTGAGCTAGGTTTCAGATGCAGCCGAGAGGAGGGTCTAGGGTGGGATGCCAAAGAGCTGTAAAGGACTTAAGGTTTGGTAAGGGTCTGCCCTGCCCTCCCCACCCTGGCACCTCTGCTCACCATGCAGATACGTTGCGTGGCAGGCGGCGATGGCGTGCCTGGTGGCGGCAGTAACACTTGCAAGGACAAGAGTTGAGCACCTGGAAAGGCGGCCAGTGGTGCACAGAGGCCTTGCTGGCTGGCCCTGACGGTGCAGCCCCGCCACCGCCGCCACTGTTGGTCGCTACTGTCACATTCCGCTCCCGGGGACCGTCGCCAGGCGCGCTGTCTTCGCGGGTCACAACTCGGGCTGCACGGGGACCTTTGTTCCTGCGCGTGCGAGTTTTGATGGGAGCGGGCGCAGCTGTGGGCGTGGGTGGCAAAGTTTCGGCCGCGGGAGGAGTTGCAGCTGCAAGTGCAGCTGGGGCTGTGGCTGGGTCCGGGGCTGGGGCTGGGTCCGGAGCCGCCGGGGCTGGGTCAGGAGCCTGGGCTGGGCCTGGAGCCGGGGCCGGGGTTGGGGTCGGGGCTGGGGCCGGGGCTGGGGCTGGGGCTGGGTCAGAAGCCGGGGCCGGGACCGGAGCCAGAGCCAGGGCAGGGACCGGAATCGGGGCTGGGGCCGAGACCGCGGCCGGGACCGGAGCCGGGGCCGAGGAGACCGGGATCTGGTCGGTGGCCAAGACAGGTGGCAGCGCGGGAGCCGGGGCAGAAGCCAGGGTTGACTCCACGGGGCCGGGACTTGCGGTGGGTGGGGGTACCACCGGCAGCGGCTTCGGCTGGTGCGCTGGTGGCTGCGGTGGGGGCAGCGGCGCGGGCGACGGCGTGGCAGGTGGCGTGGGCGGCGGCGGCGGCAACTCGGGCTGGCTCGGAGGCACGGGGCGCACCGGGCGCACCGGGCGCACGGGGCGCACGGGGCGCACGGGCTCGCCATTGGTGGGCGCCGGGAAGATGAACATGGGCGGCGCCAGTAGGGCAGGGGCGGGCCTGCGGGGCCCGGGAGCTGGATAGATCGGCCGCAGCGGAGGTGGAGGGGAGCTCCAGGGCCCTGAGAGCGCCACGGCTCGCCGTCGGGGCACCCCGACGCCTCCGACAGCCCCGTTGAAGCGGAAGTGGCGTTCGGGGCCGTCCGGAGGGCTCAACCAGTCGAATTTGGGCTGCGAGCCTGGGAAGGTAGTGTAGGGCGGTGGCGGTAGGGTCCGTGCGTGGGCGGCAGGCCCCAACGGAGGCCCGGGACACACTTCGCCATCTCCATTACCGCCCTCGGTTTCTTGTGCACCCTGAGGGACCTCTCCCAACGTACGTGAGGTGCCAGGAGCCAGGGGCCTCTGCTTCAGGACCTCGGCGTAGGAGACAGGCCCCGAGGCAGCGACCAGCCCACCGCTGGCTCCACCCGTGGGCGAGGCCGAGGCCACTGAGGGGGTCGAGGGGCTGGAGGGGCTGGAGGGGCTGGAGGGGCTCGAGGAGGCTGAGGGTGCCCCGGCAGGCAGTTGGCTGCCCGGCTTGAAGACAACTTTGCAAAGCAGGTTCAGGCCAGACTCGGAGTTCGCGTTCCCGGTCTTTTCGCTTTCCTCCACTTGGGCAGGTGGCTCTCCGCGGGTCCCGCCACCGGCCATCGGGCCCTCGCTGCAGGGCCAGGCAGGGCTTTCGGTGGCGGTGGCGGCGGGGACTGTGGCAGGTGCGGAAGGTGTGACAGTGGCCAAAGCAGGAATGATGCTGCGATCCAGGGGTTGCCGGTTGGAAAGCGGTAGCGGCGGTGGCGGCAGCTTCCACGGTTTGAGGGGTGGCGGCATTGGGGAGGGCGGCCTCGGAACGGGGTCCTTTTCCGATAGTTGTCGCGGCAGCACCGGGATTGGCCGTAGGCTCACGGGATCCCCTTGGCCGCAGTGGCTGGCCTCCAGCAGGCCGCGGATGCGGGGCACCGGCGTGCCCGGGAGTTTCCGCCACTTAGACGGCGCGGACAGCAGGGTACCCACAGGGGGCGGGGGTGGTGTGGAGACCCCGGGCACAGCCGGCACTTCTGGAGAGGACGCCGCTGGTGTGGGCAGTTCTAAGGTCAGGGGCGAGGGTGAGGCCTGGGGCTCTGGGGGCACCAGAAGGCCGGGGGGCGCGGAGCTGCCAGGGAACCAGACGCCCAGCCCTCGAGCCAGGCGCATGGCTGGAGAGGAAGGGGTCACCTCGGGCTCCACCAGGGACGGCCGCCTGCAGTCTGAGGCCTGCTGTTTTCGGGAGCCACCGCCAGCGGACGGCTCCGATTGCACGTTCCCCATTTCTGACTGAGGTCCGAGGGCTGTGGTCAGAACAGACCAGCGCCCGTGAGTGGTCCAGGACTGGATGGGATGGGATGGGGGGGTACCCCACAAGGCTGGCTTGTACCTGTACCACCTCCATGCCCGCCTGGCCCCACTCCGAGGCCCTGGGTCTCTAACCCCCTCCTGGGTCCTCCGCAGGGAGGCTGTGCAGCTATCTTAGACCCCCTGCCTGCCCCGTGAGCCCGGTTCCGCAAACCACTTCTCGGCCCTCGCTCGGCCCATCCTAGGTCCCCTAGGCTTGCCTTCCTGTCAGTCTTAGAACCGTAAGCGCTGGCGACGGGGGCGCTGAGTGGCCTACAAAAAGCCTACCGCGAGCTCCCGTCTCCCTCCCTGGCCTCTAACGCTGCTCCCCGAGGCCCCGGAGCCGCCGCCTCGTCCCCGCCTCCATCCCCGCCTCTCCCGGCACTTGTCCCGCCTCTGCCCGGCGAGCACCACCAGGTGGGCCTGTGCAGGACATGCCTCGCAGCACCGTGTGCCCACCCCCCCGGCCCTCTGCCGTGGCCGTCACGGACCCCCTGCTACCTTCCCGGGGTCCTCCCTCCCCATCTGCGTTCCCCCAGCCGGGCTCCACACCCAGGTCCCACCCTCCTCCCCAAGCCCCGCTCCAGGTGCGCCCTAACGCCCTGGGAGACCCCCCACTCACCGGCTCCTCCAGCCGACCCAAGTTCAGACCGCGACCCCCTGGGCCCAGGGCAGGGCGGGGAACGGCCGTAGCAGAAAATAACCGAAAAGAACGGAGATGCGGGTGAAGGCTAGTGGACGAGACGGTGAGTTCGAGGCCCCGCCTCCGGGCTCGAGCCCCGCCCTCATGGGGGCCCGCTGCAGCCCAGCCCCTGGCGGACCCGGGTCTCCCTTTCGGATCTGCAGAGGTTTTTTCTGGGCGGCCCCCGGGCCTGCTCGTCCTCTGCCCCACCCCTCCGGAACGTTCCCCTTGGCTCCGCCCCTCTCCGTTATTCCCGCCCAGGCCCCGCCCCTTCCGAACCCCGCCTTGTAGCTGGGGGGGCGCCCCCTCTGGTACCCTTACCCCAAAGATAAATTTTCGGATTTCCCAGCTCCGCTTGTTTGGGACCTGGCAACCCCTTCCCCAAGACGCTCCACTCCCTTCGTCCCAGCCCGCTCGGGAGACCCGGCCCCGTGCATCTACCCCTTCCGTGAGCTCTCCTTCTGGGTGCAAACCCCGTAACTCGGGTCTCCCCACGACCCCACCCTCCTGCGAAGGCTCCCCTTGTCGTCCCACCCCTTTTGGAACCCAGCCGGAATGCAAACCCTGGACCCCCACCCCCCACCCGCAAGCCTCTGTAGAGCCCCTAGACCGGATCCCGTCGCTGTCCCCTCTTTGCAGCATCAGCGACCCCATGACGTGGACGAGCGGCACAGTGCGGGGTCCCCCCCTTTGGGTCCCTGGAAGATGTGAGGCTGGTGGCAGGGTGCGTGGGGTGGGGGGGGCACTGTTCGCTGGAGCCCGAACCGGGCTCTAGGACCCAGCGGGCGAGGGCGCCCGCCTGCTCTACCCCTCCCCCAGGCCGCCCCCTCCCCCCCACTCGTCTTGCAGGCTCCCCTCCCTCCCCCCGGCCCCGGCTCCGGTGCCCGTCTCCAGCCGGAGCCCGCGAGGGAGCCGAGCGAGCCGGAGGAGGAGGAGGCCGCGTCGCCGCCGCTCGGAGCCCGGCCGCAGCCTCCCAGGCAGGTGCCGAGGAGGGACGGGGGGCGGGGGCTGACAGGCCGCCTGGCCCGGCGAGGGGGCGGCCAGGACCGCCCTCCGCCTCCGAACCCCCGCTCGGGGCGCCCCGAGGACCTTGGCTGGGAGGACCAGGGGGTGGGCCCCCCAAACTGCGCGGCAGCCATGGGGGGGGACCAGCCTCCATCGGGCGGCGAGGTGTGTGTGTGTGTGTGTGTGTGTGTTTGGGGGGTGCTGGACTTCAGAATGGATGCCCCATTCACAAAATTCCGTGCTGGACCCCCACCATGGAGGAACTCGGACGACCACTCCCCCGGGGAAACGTAGGTGTGTGGGGGAGCGCAGGCACCCCGAAATCCCGGTGCCCCACCCCGGTTAGGCCCTTCGGGGGGACCCCTGCCCTCTTTCCCTGCTTCACCTGTTGTCGGGGGAGGCGGGCGGACAAAGGAAGCAGCGTCACGTGACTGCTCATTCACAAAATCCCAACCCATTGAGAAAAGGGGGCTGGGGGCGCTGCGGCCGCCCCTTCCCTTCCCATAGGGCCGAGGAAGCCAGCGTCTCGCGGGTGGGGGAGGGGGCTAGGTCTCGTGGCCCGGGTCCCTGAGGTGGGGCGCCAGGGTCCCAGTGCCGGGTGGCGGTGAGGGGCTGGACGCTGCTCCCTGTTCCTGGGCGGAGGGCTACGTCCCCGGAGCTGGGGGCGGGGTAAGCTGGGGCTGGAGGATGCGGGCGGGCGTGCGGGCGGGGGATCCGTCTCCTCCCCGCCATCTCTCCCCCTCGCCTTCCTTGGCTGGGACCTTGAAGGAGCAGCCTGGGTTTTTTTTTTTTTTTTTTTTTTTTGTGAATGAAACGCTCCCTGGATGTGTCTCGGTCCGCCCGTGTCTGGCTTCTTCTGCCTCCATCTCTTTCTCGGCCCTGTCTTTCTGGCCATTTCTGGTTCTCTCCCTGCTCCCTGCCTATCTCCCCGTTGCTGGGTGACTCAGTGAGCTTTGCATCCGGTCTCATTCATAAATCCGGGAAGGGGTGGTGGTGGTGGGGAGGGGAGAGTCAGGGTTTCTCACCCAGCCAGTGGCCTGGGCCAAAGGGTGCAGAGGCAGTTGCTGGGGGGCACTGGATATGAATGGATGGGGCCCGGAAAAAATGCATGTGCGCAGGCATCCAGCTGTGGGGGAACGATGGGTGGGGCTGTGGGTAGGTGCTGAGCTGGGGAGGAGAGAAGCAGGAACAGGCGGAGGGGAGGAGGAAAACCAGGGCTTTGAGGGGTGAGGGTGGGAGAGGCAGGGGGAGGGGGGAAGGGGGGGCATCTGAAAAGGTGGACGTGAGCAGGAGGGAGGCCATGAGAGAATCGAGGTGGCGTGGCAGCACGCAGCTTTGCAGGGCAGGTGGGTGTTGTATGGCTCCCTCAGGGTCCAGGGGATCTGGGTGGGAGATGGAGGTGGAGGGACATGAGGCTCAGTGTAGGGAGGGGGGCAGCCCTGCAGGGACTGCAGCCCCCGAATTCACTGACCGTTGTCACTGTCCTCCCCCAACCTTCAGGTACATGGTGCGGGTCCGAGCCGTGGTGATGGCCCGAGATGACTCCAGTGGGGGCTGGCTGCCTGTGGGGGGCGGGGGCCTCAGCCAGGTGAGCGTTTGTCGGGTCCGAGGGGCCAGGCCCGAGGGGGGGGCCCGCCAGGGGCACTACGTCATCCACGGGGAGCGCCTCCGGGACCAGAAAGTGAGCCACCCTGGGGTGTGGGGACAGGGGAGGGGCCCTGGGTGGAAGGGGCTGGCTGGGGCTGGACCTGAGAGGAGAGGTCAGGGGGTCTCCCAGCCTGGGAAGCGCACGGCCAGCTAGGGGGAGGGGGGCTGTGGGAAGGAGCACGGAATTGTGCAGCTAAGAGCTGGGAACTGCAGGAATCCAGGGGGGTGAGGCAGGTCCTGTGTGTGGCCGGCTCCTGCTGAGCTGTCACAGTCTCCTTGCTGGCTCCCCCTCCCCCCCACCCCCACCCTGCACCTGCTGGCACCCTGAAACCTCAGTCTGTTCCGTACCCCATCCTGCCCTGCCCCACGCCAATAGCCAACCCGGATCATGTCCCTTTTTTGCTCAGAATCTTCCTGCACAAGGCTCCATCTTGCTCAGGCTTCCTCTCCATGAGGCCTCACCCCAGTGGGCCCCCAGCGGCCCTAAGTGGTTGGAGGCATTCGATGGTGGTGGTGGTGAGGGGGTCCGTTTGGAAGTGTCAGAGATGGTTGATAATTCTATATCTGTGGGTTTGGCAGGAGAAAGGGGATGTGTAACCCCATATGGAGGGATGGTGTAGCAGGTTGGGCTGGGGGTATAGCAGGAAGCCGGAGCAAGCTTGAAGAGGCTGGGGATGGGGTGGGGGGTTTAAGAGTGGAGGGGTAGGAGATCTGGAATGAAGAGAAGAGATGCAGTGATGTCAGACAAGGATGTGAGAAGACATGGAATGCTGGCCAGTGTCCGAGGGAGAAGCTGTGGAGGTTGACTAGCGCAGGTGGGGTGAGGACTTGAGGGTGACTGGGCCCTCAGCACAGGATTAGCAGTTAGATTTTGAGACGTTCAGCAGAGTCTGGGAAGTGTTACTGAGTTAGAAGGTGGATTATCGGAAAAGGATGAGCAACATTTTGAGGCATTCTTTAAGGTGCGCGTTCCTACTGGGGTATTACGAACATATAAGGATGAGGGGAGCATGATTGGGGTGTCAGTGGTGCAGCCAGAAGCAGTGGGTTCTCCACTGCAGCCCCAGCAGGGGCCGGGAGCTGGGGAGCGCTGGAAGTGGGGTTTGAGGGGCTGGATGTGCAGAGGGCAGCAGGTAGAGGGGAAGGCGCAGGTGCAGCCAGCTGCAGGGGGCTGACCACACCCCTCCTGCCTCTCAGACTACCTTGGAGTGTCCCTTGAGGCCAGGCCTGGTGTACAACAAGGTGAATCCCATCTTCCACCACTGGAGTCTGGGTGACTGCAAGTTTGGGCTGACATTCCAGAGTCCTGCAGAGGCTGATGAGTTCCAAAAGAGCCTGTTGGCCGCGCTGGCGGCGCTCGGTCGAGGTGAGTGGAGCGGGAGGTGGGCTCCACTCTGGGGAGCTGAGAGTGGAGGCATGGGAAGTGTCGGGGGCTGGGGTGAGGGGCAGGCAACTCACTCTCTCCCTCTCTCTTTGCTATAGGCTCACTCACCCCTTCCTCTTCCTCCTCCTCCTCCTCCCCCTCCCAGGACACTGCAGAGACGCCCTGCCCGCTGACGGTGAGTTGAGTCTCTGGATGTCAGTGCTGGGAAGGTGGGGGACA